GTTTTTTTTTTTTTTTTTTTTTTTTTTGTACCAGGGATTAAACTTGGGTCCTTGTGCTTTTGAGGCAGGCGGTGGAACCACTGAGCTAAATCCCCGGCCCAACAGAGCATATTTTTAGTGATTTTTGTTTTTGTCTTTTGCAGTGCTGGCGATCTAACCCATGGCCTCTTACCATACTACATCTCTTAAGTGTTTTTAAATCTAGAATGGTCCTCACTCTGTTTTCCCCCATGACCTTGACTGGTGAGGAGCCAGAGCTGGTTCTTATACAATGTCCCACTGGAAGATTTGTCTGACTCTTTCAGTGTGTGTCCTTTATCCTTGAGTGTACTAGTCAAGCACCCTACCACTGAGCTACACCCCTAGCCTCCATCTCTATTATTTTTTATAAATGAAGATGGATTAAACATTATGGGGCAAGAATTTAATGGATACCTCCTGGTGGTGCTGTGTGGTTCAAGTTACCCCCCATCAGGAGCACACACACCAGGTCTTGGTGTCCCACTGGGGTTAAGGTGACAGTGTATCCCTCCCTGCTAAATGTCCAGTTCTCCTCTCTAGATAGCATCTTTACATATCCCGGCCCTTAACCACTAATAGCTTTGACTGAGTCATTGATCAGGGGTTGATGGTTTTCTAATTTTGTTCTTTCATCTGCATTTCTTAGCTGGCATTCTTTACTTGAATTGCATTAATTATAAGTGAATTGACCATCCTCTCAAATGTTTAAAAGCCATTTTAATTTCTTGCCCAGCAAATTGCCTGTGTTTCCATGGGGAATCTGGGCAATTATAGGGCAGTGTGCTCAGTGCTGTGGCTGGGATGGGCAAAAGATGTGGGAGAGCTGGGGAGGAGCAGTGGAGGAAGAACTCTTTCTTTTCTTGGGAGAATGCTTACGAAAGGGAAGCATTCACTTTCTTACTTTCTCTTTTTAAGTCAAACTCTCCCACAGATACCAATAGGATAATTGTTTAGGATGAGGGCTCTGTAACAAAAATAATTTTAGATATAAAAGTCCAAACATGCAAAGGTGCACCTACATTTATTGTGACTGCAAACCAGGAAGCCTCATTTGATTTAAACATAGGCATAAGAGGTGTCTCCAAGGAGGGTGCAAAAGATGCAGTGCCCCTCAACACCCAAAGTTTTCCCAAGAAAGTAAAGATCACCATTCTTTTTCTTTCCTTTATTTCCTCATCTTTTGTGGTGTGGGAGACTGAACCCAGGGGCTTGCATAAGATTGGCAAGCTTTCTATCACTGAGCTATATTCCCAGCCCAAGATTGTCATTTTTAACAAGGCAATGAAGGCTGAGACAGTTAAGAAATTCTCTGTCTCTCTAAAGTCTCCATTCCACATTTTTAGAGTTTCTTGGTTCTTGTTTCTAGAACACCCATTCCATTTGTTGAGAGCAGCTCTGACTCTCAAAGGTGACATTACTTCCAAAGTCTTGGAAGACACTGCAATTTTAATTTGTCTCCTCACTGCCCAGACATTTTAGTTCCTGCTTGGATTAAAGAAGTTGGGTAAGGGATGGTAAATTTGACATACAGAGCTCAACAACTTTTGTTGCATGAAAAATCATCATGCAGTGTAGTTAAAAGATAAGCAGCAGAGTAGGAGAAATATTCACAACTTAAACAACAAAGAAATATTCATTATATAAAAGCTCTTACAAACCAATCAAAAGTAGTTAAAACTTTTTTAAAGGACAGAGGAGAAAAACAAGCAATTCATAGCAAAATGTACATTATGAACACTGCAATACTCTCTCCAACAACCATTCTACCCCCAGTTTCCACCCCCACTGCCCATCACATTACAGCCTGTGTGGGAGGGCTTTTCCCTACTCCTGCTTCCAGAGGTTAATGCCAGTCAGGGTGATCCCGCCCTCCCTTGCTTCAGAGATTGGTTCTGGGATAAGATAGATTTATCAAGGGCATGCCACCAATAACCCTGTCTCTCCAATGAGGCTCTACTTCCTAGAATTTCCAGCACCCACTAAAAGTGTCAGCAGCTGGGGACAAAGCTTTCAGTGCATGAGGTTTTGGAAGTCAGCTGAGATCCATACCATAATACTCTCTTAAGCAGCCATAAAGCTCCATCCCACTATGGATTTAAGAGTTGTAGGACCCCATAATTCCCTACCTGCAATTCTAAAAATCCAACAAGTTGGCCGGGGATTTAGCTCAGTGTTGCCGCTGCCTGCCTCACAAGCGCAAGAACTGAGTTTGATCCCCAGTACCACAAACAAACAAAAATTATTTAGTAAAAAAATCCAGCAAGTTATAAAACCAAAGTCTTCCTTCTCCATCTCCCCTGTAAGTGTAAGACACTCATTTGGTGATAGCACCTGACCTGAACTGACATGAAGCTATTTTCAGTTAGTTTATGTTGCTTTCCTTGCTGGGAATGATTATATATTATACAGTATAAACCTGTATTAAATTCCTAAAATTGTATGAAATCTGAATTCCAAAATCCATTTCAGATAAGAGATTGTGGATTTGCCTAGTCTTTTAGGTGAAAATTTTGGCAGAATGTAAGAAAAGTCTTTTAAATATGTCTATAGTAGTTGGCATCTAAGGAATTCATTAGGTCTGCAGTCTCAGGCTCTACCCAAGTCCTGCTGGAGTAAAACACAGGTCAGCCACATTCCCAAGGGATTGGTATGCATTTCTGCATTAGAAACTTTGCACTAAGGCACAGTGGCTCATTTTGGAATGATAGAAGATTAGATCCCCCAACCATGGCTGGTCCATCTTCCTCTCCATCTCTGCTCACTTCTGGAAGCTGTACAGCCTTTTCCAGTGTCATCAGAATGGTCTGTCCTCACAGATCTGGGCCTTGCTGCCCCATGCTGCGGCCATCTGTCTACGGGTTCTCTATGGGAAGGTCTGTGCACGTGCTTGGCTTGATGAATCTACAGGGGCTCGCAGGCCCTTCCTGCTAGGTAAGGTCATCATAGACTGAAGGAGCAGATTGTGGGGCCAGGTGTGTCACCCACAGAATATCTGACAGGCCTTAGATCTGCAGGCTGTAGAACATGACAGACTTGTTCTGTGAGGTTCTGAACCAATCAGAGGAAGACATGGAGGGGGTAGCAGTTGAATAAGGAAAAGTTTCAAATAAGCAGGAAAGAGCTGAGTCAGTGATGGGCTTATTGTCTCTAGAAGAGACCGAAGAGTTGAATGGCCTCATTCAGAGACATTCAGTGCGAGCACTGGGTTGGGTGTGAGCTTAAAGTTGAACTCTACTGGAGGCTGAAACATACAGCCTCGTCCAGAAGGGTACAGGGAACATGGTAACTGAGGGTGCCAACACTGCAGAGTTGGTCAGTCAAGTCAGGGTTGTTAAACTCAAACCATCCTGTGTGTGTTAAATAGTCCCATGTTTCTCCCTTATTCGCAAGCTCCGTAAGGCCAGTAGCTGGGTGGCTGTCGGGTCCACAGCATTGGGCGCTGAGTCCATCCCTATAACAGCAGCTGCCCAATACATATTTGTTGACTTAAATGTAACGAGCTGAAAACTAGCATTAATACTTGTGTGTTTCTTACTGGTAATTCCTGTGTACTATAGACAACCTGGTTTGCTTTTGTGCCCTTGAAAGCATTTTTCTCAGGTGTTTATATTTTCCATGTTTTTCTTCTGGTTTTCTCATTTCTTCCTTCTTCCTCCAGCTTGTATCTATTTTTCATTCCTTGTAACAGGAAAACAACAAAAATCTCCTACATATCCCACAAAAAGAGACTGTTAAATCAAGGTTAGCTAAGCAATAAAACAGAAATTGTCAGAGTATTAAGAAACAAGCTCATATATTAGTAGGAAAAATTAGCAAGTTGTAAAACAGCCTGTATGGTAAGACCTTATTTAAAAACAAGCTTAATATATACACCTAAAAAATATTTAAGACAGGGCTGGGGACATGGCTGAGTAGTACAGTGTTGGCTTAGTGTGTGAAAGGCCCTGGGCTTGATCCCCAGCACTGCCAAAAAACAAAAAACAAAAGCCAAAAACAAAACACCAAGACAGTGTTTCTTATCTGGAGGAGAGTCAGGAGACTGAGAACTGATTGAGAGTTATAAAGTCCAAGCCTACAATTTTTGTGAGTCCAAGGGCTCCCTTCCCCTAAAGTACACCTAACAATCCAGGTGAAGAAACACGTAACTGGAAGAATCCAACCAAGGAATACCAACAGCATGGTGTCTAGGAGGGTGGAATTACAGTTGCTTTTTATGAATTGCATTTTGCTTGGCTCTACCTCTTCCTCTCTGTTACAAGCACCTATTACTTACAAATAAAAGCTAACAAACAAAAACTGGATTTATTCTGAACTCTAAATCTCTAACTCATTTTAGCCATCTTTATATAGTTGGCAATGTTTTTGAGAAAACTGCAGATTGAAAACGAAAGCAAATGTTTCCAATCACCAATTAGTGAGAAAGCGGTGGGCCAAGGAGGTTGGGTGACCTATCTGGCTGTGGGCAGGGAGCAGAGCAGGACCAGCACTCATATCCTTCCCACCAAAGCCTTTTGCTGCCTTCTAAGTCAGCAATGGCAGGAAGTCTCAAGCAACTTGACAGTCTCATTTATCCTGGACACTCCATTCTACTGGCATACTGAGTGTGGATTTGGGAGAGAGCAGAGAGTTGTCAGACCAGGTGAACTCCATATCCCTTTGCTTTCTGGGGAAAGCACACTGGATTGCAGATCAGACACACAGATCCACTGGCAGAAGTCCTGTTACTGGCATCAGAGCCAGTAGACATCAGCCCTCTTTGAAAATCTGCTGTTGGCTGACTCTGCTCCATGGCATTTATAAAGCCAGGGCTATGCCATTCCTGCCACTTGGGACATTTCCTTGGGAACATCCAGGTCATGTCCTCAAGTTTTCCATGGACACTTCCTTGAGGCTGGTTCTAGCTTTCTCAGAGCCAGGTGGAAAGACTAGGGCAGCTCCAGGAGCCTGGCTACAGGAGACCAGCTTAAAACCACACTATTATTGATTTGGCTTATAATTCGGCTCTTAAATAAAAGTATGAGTCACTCTAAGGCCTAAGTGGGAATTGCTAATTGACCTTTCAGCTGATGTTTGTGCCAACAGCCACAGTTGAAGTCTCAGTGATCAATGAGGTTGTGATGTCTCTACAGCAAGGAAACACTGCAGCTGAGGAATTGTGACTCTGTGCAACCATTCTCTAAAATCAAATGTTAGCCAAGATAATGCAGGTGGCTCATTAGCCTATGATCTACAAGCATAGGTGTCTTGTTAACTTTGACCTGTCTTTCACAAGTACACTGAGTTACTCCCCTATTCCCAAACCTGGCTCATTAAGTACATTCGTTCTGCTATTCCTTAAATCTGCCTTCATGCCCTCTATGCTGTATAATCATAAACACTGACTAATCCAGAGCTTGTGGTCTTAGCCATGACAGAGCTAAGATCAGGAAGATCAGGTAATCTTTAGCCAAGACAGAGCTAAAAATCAATTCCTGACCCCCGCCCAGTAATAAACTCTCATTTGTTATTCTTTAATTCTTGTTCTTTGTATATTATTCTTTAATCCCCTGCTGTCCCCTCATCAGGCAACCAGGCTTCCCGTGGCGACTGTTCACGCTATCAACCTGACAACTGGCTGTGCTAGGCAGGTGAGGACTGGGTCCCACTCTTCCTCCACATTTGTGGTTCCAAGGGGAGGCCGTGGAGTGTGAGCATGGTCATGCCCCACCAGGGCCTATGTCAGCAGCTCCAGGCTCGAGCAAGAACCAGGGGACTCAGCTCAGCTGTGACAGCTTAGGAAATTCATTGAGTGACTGGATCTCAGCTTTCAAAGCTGAGAAATGAGTGTGAGGATCTTTATCTGGTGTGTGGACAGATGAGCCTGTGGTGGGTGTTCTGAGTTCCCTGAGATGAGCCACAGAATACATTCTGGTTTGGAGTTCTGGTCTGTGGTGGGTGTAGTTTTGGGCTGAGATGATTCTGAGAGTGGGCTCCTGGGTTTGGATGGGCACTGGGAGAAAGAAAAGTGCTTTGGAAGAGCAAAAAAAGAAACTCTGAGGGCCAGAGGAAGGGAGACTTGAACCAGAAGCAGTACTGGCTTCTCACGGCCCACACCAAGGACTTCTTTCTAAACCTTGTAAGGAAAAACAAGGGAGGCACTTACATGATCAAATTGTAAGAACAGACTGCAAAGAATAGTCAAAGACAAGATGTGTGGAGTCTTAAATCTTTAATGGCTTTTTGAAAGAATTACAAAAAGAATGCATGCTAATTATAACAAATTCAAACAATACATGAACAAGTAAAACTAACTCCATTACCCTAAAGAGGAATAAAATAACATCAGGCATCATTTTTCAAACTACCACACTGGCAAGATTAAAAAGAATGACACTGGGCTACTTATAAGGAAATCCTGTCTCAAAAAACCAAAAGCAAAAATAAAAATAAAAATAAAAATAAAGAATCACAGTATCTAGCATTGGCCAGGATTCTCAATATTGGCCCTACTGATCTAATTCTCTGTTAATGGGGCATTGTCCTATTTATCATAGGAGGCTTAGCATCCAGGCTGTAGCAACCAAGTACTCTCTCCAGACACTGCCAAATGCTTCCTCTTGCTGAGAGCTGCTGTAGGCCAATGAGCACTCCAACACCTCTGGTGGGCATGGGATCTGGCAGCTTGGTGTACTAGCAAATATTAAAATTTGCATCACCAGCAACTTCGCTTCACAGTACAAACTTGAGGAACATTTTAATCATTTTTTATTATTTTTAATTTTTAAAATGAATGACATTGGTAGGTAACTGGAGATATCTATATATACCTATCTATGCATAAATGCCCAGACATAGAACTGGGTAGCTCTGATGCAGAGTTTTCAGGATACAATTTTTTTTCAAGATACAATAATTAAAGGGCTCAAGCAAGGTGAGGCATGTGGAGGCATTTTCAAGTTTTTTATTATTTTTCCCAAATTATGGACTTTTTATTGCTTTAAAATACTATTAAAAAATACACCATGCATATCTTAACAGATCCACAAATGATCCAAATTAAATGCTTTTTTTGTTTCATTAATTTGAATTGCTAGGACAATCCAGTTAATGAGATGTCTTTGTTGATTACACTGATCGCATAAGCTTATTTCCCACAAACTCCATAATGTAAGGAGACTGCTTTATGTAAGGAGGTATTTTCTCCTATTATACTTTTTTGAATCCTTAAATATCTGAGATTTCATAAATATCAGATTTCTCTTTCCTGTTTTGTTATAATGTTAAACACAAAACAGAGTAGCCAGGGTCACTTTCTGGCAATCCTACTAATCACTGTCTCAAGTTTCTTAAATATCTTAAATTTGTAATACCAAATCTTCCACAAAGAGCACTATGAATAATATATATTTTTAATCATAAAAAAGAAAAACTATTTCAGACAGATTCAGTGGCATGTGCGCTACAGAGAAGGCTGGCTGTAGCCATTTCTTTTCAAACCTGTATTGATGTATAAATGAGACCTGATTTGGACATGCTTAACTTCTGCTAAAATATAGATTTAACCCAACATGACACCAACCTTTACATTTATAGACCTCATATTAGTACTAGAGGTTAGATTTTCGTCACCAAAAAATGAGAATAACCAGAATAACCTTACAGTTACCTACTAAGGTAATGAGCTATGAAATTAATTCCCTACTACTGCTTTGAAAATATACCCCTCGGTTGTTCAGAGAAATTCCACCTCATCCAAATGTACTGTTTAGCTGGGATTCTTCAGTCATCATCTATGGTTGGCTTGATTGTCACTCCTCTTCTTATCTGACCCCAACCAATTAAACGCCAGTGCTTCTCTACTCTTCGGCTCAGGGCAATTTTCTCTCCCACTTCTGTGCACACAGGATTGGTCAGAACGATTTTGCCCAAATCAGCCTTGACAGCACTAACTCTCCCTCCTGTTGACAGAGATCCTATGTTGACCATGAGCACTTCGTTCTTGGACAGCTTTTGGACCTTTGCTGCTTTCTTGTCACCTTCAGTGCGTACACCTAGAAGCCGTCTAAGTAGGAAATAGGAAATTTCTAATTCTGTGAATATCTCAGGTAAAGCTCCCACTGCACCAAGTACCTGCCCCACCATTCTGTCTGCTCGGCACAAGGTGGGGTCGATTTTTGTTCCAACTCCAATAAGACCCCCAGGAGCAGCATACTGAAGATCATTATGTTCTGCAAAAAGTGAAACGATTTTGGAAAAGATTGGTTTACACATGAGTTTTCCTTCACTATCTTTGGAAACAATACCAGGTCTGACTTCTATTTCCTGGCCCACCTTCAATACGCCCTTTAGAATACTACCACCAGCCACACCTCCCTTAAGGTCATCAACTTCACAACCAGGTTTGTTGACATCAAATGACCTAATGACAATAAGTCGAGGTTCTGAAGTAAAGTCTCTAGGAGGTACTGGTATTTTCTTTACTATGTACTCACAGACAACTTCAATATTGTATTTCAGCTGGGCAGAAATTGGAATAATGGGAGCTCCTTCTGCTACTGTACCTTGTACAAATGCGAGGATCTGTTCGTATTGTTCCTTAGCCTGACTTTCTTTTACCAAATCAATTTTATTCTGTAGAATCAAAATATGCTTCAGTTTCATGATTTCTATTGCAGCCAGGTGTTCAGAAGTTTGAGGCTGAGGGCAAGATTCATTACCAGCTATCAACAGGAGAGCTGCATCCATCACTGCTGCACCATTCAGCATAGTTGCCATCAAAATGTCATGGCCAGGACAGTCAACAAAGGAAACATGTCTGACTAATCTGAAGTTCCCTTTGGTCCCTGGGATGTCTGTAGGGAACTCATCAGGTGTACCACTTCCACATGACCTATAGCATTCTGGCCGAGGACAACTTGGGTCATCAAGTTTGTAAATCTTAGCATTAGCATATCCAAGCTTGATTGTGATGTTTCTTTCTAGTTCATTTTTGAACCTGACAGTGTGCACTCCAGAAATGGCTTTTACAACCGTGGACTTCCCGTGAGCTACATGACCAATGGTACCTATATTAATTGTTGCTTGTCTGCTGATAACTTCACGTGAAAGTGGAGTCAACTTGGTAACATCCAAGGTGGCGAGATCCTGACGAGAGAGGTGTGGCTGTCCCAGAGTCACTCCGGCCTCGCCCTCCAGCCATCTTGCCCGCAGAGGTGTGAATATTTCTGAATCCATGTTTATTTTTCTGAATTCATCCTCTTTTTACTTCTAAAAGCAGAGTACTGTATAACAGATTAAATAATTTTTAAATTAGGAAGGTATCTAGGAAAGACTGCCATTTCTTTTACAGCTACCCCCAATTCTCACCTACATAGACCCATCCCACTACCCACACCTATTTTTTATCATTTTTCCTCATGTGGTGTACAAAAAGATTTGAAGATATTTCTCTTACCTAAAGAAATCGCCATTGTTGAAAGACAGGAACAGGGCAGGACAACCAAGAAACAATATGATGAAGAGAAGATGTTGGAACAACAACAACAACAACAAAAAACCCCTCCTTGATAGAAAAAAATAATTTAACAGCTATGTTAAATAACTATAACATTTCTACAAAATGACAAGTTTCTACAGATCTGCTCTTCTGGGACAAAACTTCAACAACCTTTACCTTGAGCCCCTAGAATGAAACTATTTAAAATGTTAGTCTGACACCAGTGATTTAAAATTGACAGTAAAATACTGTTTTTAAAGTATAGACACTAGATGACTCTTTAATACAAGCAGTTACCAGACCACTGGCCTCATAATTGAGACATATACTGATCTGCAGAATTTATTAAGCTTTGCACATGTAATAGAACATACTTTCAATTGCATTCGATGTGCTAACAAAAGCCCTAGCAATCAACAATGGCAGCTTGTCATTTTATAACAATCAGCGCTGTGGCTTTCCAAATTTGGTTTTCAGAAGAATTTATCTTCAAGGAAATCTAGTCATCCTTTTAAAAAATGTTTAGGTCACTCCAAGCTTGGCAATTAACTTTAGTGTAAACAATAAACAACTACAACTTGATAAATAACAGGTAACATTGTAGGCCATGAACATACAGCACAAAGGAATGGTGGTGCTGGTACTAAGTCAGAGTTATTAGAGGTACTAGAGTACTTTGGCCTCTACGCAGAAGGTTTGATTCACTAGCCTGGACACCTGGTATTCAAAGTAGGAGCAATAGCTACAGTAGCATTTCTAACACTGCAAACAAGTAGAGGATGAATTGATTTTTATTAATAAATTACACCTTCAGGCGTTATCACCAACACTTTAGTATAAAAATGTTTGTTGTATCGGTCATAACTATATGCTTATTTTAAAAGCTGCTAAATGGATTAAATGGAGACAGCAATGCTTCCCCTAATGGGACTGATCTTACTAAGTTTATAGCTATCAAGACCTAAAGCACTTCAGGTGTTTGAACTGAACATTGATGAGCACACTCCTAACCCAACCTACGGATATGCTTGACTCGGTGTTATTTGGTCAGCTGTTTGTTCACCTTGAAATTAAATTTTAATATTTTCAAAAGTTGACATTAAGTGGCATAGTAACAAATGTGCTGAAATAGTTATAGCCACAAATGGCAGTGAACAAGGAAATGGGGAGGTCCCACTCCCAAGTCACCAAGTAGTTAGAAAGATGATATATCTGTATCTATATCTATATATCTATATCTATATCTATGTACTGTCACACAACTATAACAAATAGGATTTAAAGCTGTGTACTCTGGTCTGGCATCTTCACACATTCAAGATATGTACCTTATATGAAAAGTGTTTATTCAAAAACAAATTTTTTGTAGTTAGTAAGTTCTTCCCTTAAATGTAAATAAAATGGCAGAAAGTTGTAATAACCAGGATTCTGAAAGTTTAAAAGAACAATTTGAATTAGGAATCAAATATACAGTCAAAGAAGGAAAAATAATCTAGACAACAAAGACTCAAGTAGCCCCTCAGGTGCAGAGCAATTTTGTAAAGTACGAAAGCAACTGTGATCACCTGCAGCTTCTCAGATCATTCTAGCAAGTGTCTCCAGGTACTACCTGTGTCTATAATACTTCCCTAAATAAAGGGCCTGCAATGTACATGCAGGGTGTTTCCTGGGAATAGAGGTGAAAGTATTTTCATTTTGTTTAACTCACAAACTATTTGCTCAAAGAAATATGTACAGCTAAATAAAAGCACATCTGGTAGAAATCCATAGCAACAAATGCTGACAAGATGTGCTTGGATCTTGCTTGCTGCATCTGCCATTGGGAAGGGGAACCGAGGTAGCACTCTCACAGGCTCTGTGTGTCTGTTCTGGAGATGGCCCTGTGGCAGTGGCACTGGCATTTACAGTTGAATTTAAGACTTCCAAATCATTGCCAGCAGGCTTGGTTCCTCCCACTTTAGACTTTGAATTTTTGATCTTTTCTTCAATGACTTTTTTTTTACATCTTCAAGCTTTTCAGGAATGACAGAGCCAACTGAAGGCCGCTGAAGCCTTCTGTCCAGCTTGGGATAAGGTTTCAGAGGTCTTCCTGTAAGTCATCCTGCCACCCTTTGGCAATGTTCTGCTCTAGCTCCTCTAGTGAACCAGTCCCAAGTTTCTGCTTGATCTCTGCTAGATGCTTCTCTTTTGCTGTTAACACTTGAGAAAGAGTCTGGATTTCTTCTTCCACCTTTTCCAGCTCCCTTCTCTGCTTGTCCTGCTTGTCCTGCTCTTCTGAGAGCGTCCAGGTGGCGCTGAGCATGGCTGCTGCCTCTTCTCCTTCCTCAGGTACTGAGTCTGTTCTCAGCAAACCAAATTTCTGAGCAGGTCATCCCGGTGGAAACGCATTACTACTAGGAGACAGGCAGAGGTAGTTTTTGTTCACCCCGAGTCAAAATCAAATGAGGACTGGTAGACTTCATCCAAGCCCGTGTCTCTGTGATCCATTGCAGGCAGAGGCAGAACACAAGGCTTTACAGCCGTCCGAGTTCCCTCTGCAGTCTCAGGCTCCTTTGGCCTTATTCCCTTTGCACCACCATGCAAGCTCACTGAAAATATCTTCCCAGTTTGGAGGCGCTGCCCTGGTGCCCCAGCCCAGATTTTTAAAAATTTAAAGAATAAAACTGTATAAACAAATGCATATGTGTATATGTATTGAACATGTACACAGGAATATGTATGAGTTTTGGTCTTTTCAAAGCCTGGGAAGAGGTACATGAAGCTACAACTGTCTCTCCTGTTCCTCTCCCAAGCCCCCTGCAGAGTAAAACAGCACAGTAAGCATGTGGAATTTTTAAAGCTCTATTTTATCATCATTTATATAATCTTTTAAGAATGTTGTAAAATAATAAACATAAAAATAAGACATAGAAAAAGGAGGAAAAGAACAGAAATCTCACTGGAGTCCTGTTCCCTTCCCCTGTAGTGAGTAAACCCAGCTTAATGAGTTCTGGGTACTCCACACTGTAAAGTTCTCAGCATCATACAAATCATTTCACCAGACCTCCAAAGCAATTCTAAGCTGGCAAAGAGAGGTCAGTTTTTTCCATTTGGCAGCTGGGACACTGAGACTCAGAGTGTTGTACTTGCCCAAGGCCCACAGGCAGTGAGGCCCTGAAGAGGTGGAGGAGAAATCCTAGCTCTCAGAGTCCCAGGCTGCCATCCCTCCCGCTGCCACCTCAGCAATGGGGGCAGGTCCAGTCCTCAACTGAAAACCAAAGGATCCACATCCATCCCATCTGAGGCCTTGGGCCTCTACTCCTTCAACTCCTCTCAGCCTTTCTTCTACAACGGAAGCCTGGTTCTCTCTCTGAAGTCACCTGTATCCTTCTGGCTGTCCTTTTCTCAAGGCAACTTGCTTTATAAAGATCAAGGACTTCCCAGGGGCAGTGCTGCTCTCACTCCATGGCAGCTTCCCCCATTGGAGCTCATCTGAAGATAAGCAGCCTACCTCCTGCAACTGAATGTAGGGGATAGGCAAGTATACGTGGGATGCACTTCCTAAAATATAAAGTGTGCTACAATATTAGATGGTTTTTACAAATTAAAACTCTAAACTGGGCGAGGTGGCACACTCCTGTAATCCCAGCACTTGGGAGGCTGAGGCAGGAGGATCACTTCAAGTTTGAGGCCAGCCTGGGCTACCTAATGAGTTCAAAGCCAGGATGAACTACAGGGTGAGAACCTATCATCAATCAATCAATCCTCTAGCTCTCATTCTTGGAAGGTAGAATAACAATAGCAGGGTAGCCCCAGATGAGAGAATGTTGAATGAAAAAAGTTTGATCTGGCCACCAGTGCGGACAAAGCTACTCAGAGTTCAGAGAGTGGCTCAGCCCACCTCAGCTTGTCCTTATCCCAGTCAGGTTTCTTTAGAACCTACTACTGGGCTTAGGAGCCTGAGCTGTCACCAGAGAGATGCCTCAGCATTGAACACTGAGGGCAGTGAGAACAGAGAAACAAGAAAAGCCAGCACCATAGATTATATTCCACCTGCAGGAAAACACATCAGGCAGGAAACAGGTTAATATGTCAGACAGGGCTTTGGAAACTGCTATGTTAATTTATTAATGTAAGAAGTAACAACGATGTAAGTACTGTGAGCAGTAGGACCAACTCCCACTATTCCAGTGAAATGCGGCAAAATCCAGCTTGTAAAGAAACAGCAGCAAGAAGCTCATCTCACTGAGAGACAGGGTGGTGAGGCGGCCCGTGGTGCCCGCTGCTTGGTGTGTATGAGGTCAGGCAACTTTTCAGTGTGTTCCAGACATTGGAAACAGCACATACCATCTCACCCTGGAGCTCCAGGTGTAAACTTCTAGTCTAAGAAAATAATCAGCTCCACCGTCAGATAGGAATGTTGATAAACATATTCACATGCTCCTATATATAGGTACTGACACAAGGAGTTGCAACTCAGTTCATTATAGCAGAAGTAGAGGGACAGTGAACTACAGAATAAATTAGGAATATATTTAAGTGACAGAGTATTACACAACCATTAAAATATTCGGAGGGATACTCTGTGACATGAAGAAATATTCATAATAGCAAATGAAAAAAGCAGGATATAAGACTTCACAGTTTATCAGCGACTATCAGATACACATTTAAGATAGCAATAATAATAATTGCAGCAGCAGCCAAAACTCACTGGATGCCATGAGCCATGCTCATTTCAACCTCTGCCAATCCTCAAGGGAGGCCTTGTTATTAGCCTCATTTTTCAGAGGAGTAAACAGGCAC